AGTTTAAAATAGTTGTTGTTGACACATACTTTCTCTTCTGCAGTTTTACTCTTGATAATSAGCTTTTTTACACTTTTTCTTGGTACAAAGGTGTCTGGGCTTAAACCAGTTTCATCATCGAGGCCCTCAAAAAGTTTAGACTAAAAAACAAAATGARCAGCAAAACAATAAATCATCATTTCAGTCAAGTTCAGCATAAACCAACTAGCAGCAAGGCAAATACCTTGTTCATTGTGTGGTAATTGATGGGTCTTGGTTTAATCTTTGCTGTAAGCTTGGATGACACCTTTCAAAAAATATTTATAATAATAAACAATCAGACTGTGTCAGAAAATCCTAGTTTTAAGTCCTAGATTTCAACATTGTAAAGATATTGAAAATGGTTAAGGTACATGGTTGTAAATTCTTTTAACAAAAGCAAGGAAATAATATCAATGCAGGTAAACTTTCCAATCTTAGTAGGTACCTTAAATTAAAAACTGTCACTCCTATTATTTTTTATAATTTTTTTTATATTTCGTAAACAAAACCATGACATAAAGAATAAGCACCAGTCAGTGGCAGACATGATGACTTTTCATCACTACTTTTTTGACATTTGACATTTTTGCCGTCTAGCTGTGGAATTACTATAATTCCTATTGTTCATTCATAGTTAAGTCATGACAAACAACAAACATGGTTGCCTAGACTGGTCCAGGCTCAAAGGCCTAAATTAATACAAATATACATGTAGAACAAGTTTTACAACTTTAAATAGCCAACTTCTACAGAGCTTGGACCACACTGATTTCACAATTCCTGACACCTCCTTATATAGCATTATAACACATTATCATACTAGCTCTAGGCCACTCTCTCACATAGGTTCAACACATTTCTCTCTCCATTCCAACTCAGAACTCGTTGTTCATTCCAATAGAAATACAATTTTGTACCTTGTAATGGGATGGAGATCCCAAGACATGTTGTGATGATGCTGTAGTGGTAGTTAATGCTTTGCTAGTTTTATCCTGAAGTAAACAAAATAATAGTTTTTAATTGAGTACCWTACTGCTTGAAAGTACTGTTATTTGCAATGTGATTAGAATTACAATCATCAATAGACTGATATCAATCAGCTAATTAGAAGTGGCAATCACTGCTGGTTTATTTGAAAATTTATTGATCTATTGTTACTTGCACATTGCCACTTTAATTTGTATTTTGCAATTCGCATAACAATGCCAACAAAGATAATACTTGTACAACAAATCTTTAGTCCGAGTGACTTCAAAGAGTGAAATCATTTGAAAACTAAATGAAATGAAAGCCTTAACTGGAAAAAGTTCTTCATTAACAAATCATAATAGTCTCATGATGTAATCARTGATGACAAAACAAAACAAATCTCCATCTGCATGACTCCACGATTTTTTATCTGCAATTGTTTTTATTTGGATTGTTATATGTGTTTAGTACTAGAGTCAATTTCGTATGAGTGGGAAACGGACGGTACTGTACTGTTAGTAGCCGTAATCGTACTGTAACCCAATTCTAGTGCCTCATTGGCTCACAAAAATTGTGCAGGCCAGGTCCGGTAACTGTGCGGTAACAATGATTGAAGTAATTTCTATTGTAAGTTTCCCACTCATTCGAAATTGACTCTATCATCCACAATTCTGRCATGTGGATGTTCACGTAAGATTTGTTTTAGGATGTCATAAGTTTTAGGATGTAAATGATATCAATTTGTTAGTTTGGATTCATCATTCTTCAGTCATTGAAAAAAACACACAATGCATTGCCATGAAGCAGAAACCTATAAGGGACTTGAAACGTGTAACGCCCATACATTTCTTTAGTGCCAAGCGTCGGAATATTCAAAGCTCATTCGAAAACGAACGTTATGACCACATTTGGAAAATTCGGCCGTTGAATAAGAGATTTAAGTCCCGTTCTGGTTGGCTATAGGGTAAATTTAATTGTTCCAAAGAAGGTCAAATAAGGCGAATTAGATTTGAATATTCCAACGGTTGGCACGTMGTTACACGTTTCAAGTCCCTTATAGGTTTCTGCATGAAGTTAATGCATTCTTGCCACAAGCTGCATCTCTGTCAAATCAACGCAAAGCACACTTCAAAGCTGCAATACAGTAACAAAGACTATAGAAAATCTTGCAATGTCCAAAATTTTCAAAAGTGGGCAATGAGCAAAAGGAAAACAAAAAACAAGTCAAACAGACTGCAAACTTACGTTAAGTGAGTTTCTAAACAACTTGGAATCACCAAATGGAGAATTGTTCAGTGCTAGTATCTGTTGGTGGAGAAGAAGCTGTTGCTGCTGTTGTTGTTGTGCCAGACCCAAACTGTTATTTTGTGATCTATAAATGAATACAAGACAGTACTAATATATGACAATAAAAAGACCTCCAAAATGTCAATATTACAATGAAGACCAATGATGAATGTAATTATAGTAATCTTTAATGAGCATTGTGTAAGCAATTGAGAGGTACAGGAATGAGATAGATGATGGACTGGTGTGCTGGTTAAGCCACTTATTTTTCCTGTTAGAAAAGTTAATTTTTTTACATAACTCTGCCAAACAGATGTTGCATTGTAGGTAACTAGCCTACGTTTTTGGACTTTATGAATGTAATCAAAGATGTAGTAAGCTTAAATGTTTCTCAACAACATACATGCCTTTCATGTCAACAATCTTATAAAATGTTGCCCTCATCTTTTGGTAAATATGAAAAGCCACATACATTGAAATGCATTTTGTTTATCTTGTCTTATTGCCTTTAGAATGTTTTTGCCATTTGTAAATTCATTAAAGAATTTAATATCTTGAGGTATGCCTYACTTTCAGTCTTAATTTGCAACTTACCCCAACAAGGTATTTGCTCCTAAATTGAGTGCTGTGCCTGTAGGTGCAAATGCTGTACCAAAGCCTAGAAAAACAAACAAACCA